GACGTTATTCATCATAATATACAATAGAATACATAGCATTGACAGTAAGATACTATTTCAATAAGTGATGAATTGTCGGGGGGTTTTTCAACCATACCATGAGAAAGGGAGTGTCTACAAATATAATCGTAATACAGAAATCTATAAAGGCAATCGAACAGATGTGTGTGGTTATCAAGATTGTCAGTCCGAATTTCCTTTGAATTTGATTTTCAATCTTTTCTTGAAATTCTATATGCTTGAAAACAACTTCAATCTCTCGCAATGATAAGCTGGTTTTCGTGTCAGAAGGGTTTTGTGGGTAACTGTGAGCAGGAGAGGTTCTCATATTCTGCTTTGAAAGCCAACCTGATTCTTTCACTTTGTGGTTAATGTGGTCAAATTTGCGACATCCATATGAGTACCTTATGCAAAAATCTCAGTTCACTCTCTAGATACAAACCTAGATTCAGGCACTCCTTGACCTGAGGGAGGTAGTCCCTTCCAATTTTGATTCCTATCTGTCCAATGGCTGAATTTCTACATGACGTACGACCCAAAATCATGAAAGAAGATTTTTTCCCATTGAGCTTCAGAATCTGTTGTAGATATGTCCAACAATGACTGAAGATCTTGATTCATTAATATTTCTGGGTGAGTTATGGAAGTCGAGTTGAAAGTGGAGTATATTTGTGTGTTGTCGGTGTAATGGTGGGTTTGACTATTCTGTATGTATTCATGGAAATCCGATATATAAATACTGAATAGCAAGGGACCTAAGATTGAACCCTGTGGTACTCCATATGCAACAGTCAATGCTTCAGAATCATCATTGTCTATCACTATCCTTTACGCGCGATTAGTTAGGAAATCTCATATGAATCCAACCTAACATTGCTGACCATCTATCGCATATTGTCATTCTCAAGACATATATTTCTAAGGGAGTAAATGCATGCAACCCAAGTGAATCAATAATGAAGCGAATAGTTAATCCAAATAATATAAATGAACTTCGAACTAGACTGAATGGTATAAATTGGTGTTAAATTTTATATATGTCTGTGCAAAAAGGCTTTGCCTTTTTCCTAGAGTCTCTGTCCTGGTGTTTTGATGTATCATGCCCAATAAAACAAAGTAAAGTCAAGAAGCCTAAAAACTCATGGATAACTAACAGTGTTGTTCAAGAAGGAAAATGCTTAAGAGAAATGTTCTATCTGATCACCAGTTATGAAGAAATCGATGCCCAAAGCATGCTTAAATATAAAATAAGATTGAGAGAACATAAAAGAACAATCAGACAGAATAAAATCAACTATTTTTCTAAAAAAATTGGTAATGCAGCCAACAAAACGAAGGAGACATGGAAAATAATAAATAGCGAACTAGGGAAACCAATGCATTTTGATGCTGGGGCATTACTTCAAACTATAATTCAATCTCAGTTGGGAATGCGCAAAATACATCTGAATTAATTGCTCAGTACTTTTCAAACACTGCTACATCTATCATAGTCACCAACTTTGGACAGAATTTAACCCTACTCTGCACCAGTAGTACGAATGTCAACACCAACACCCCTTTGATAACAGCCCAATATTAGAATCTGAAATATATGACCTCTCAGATCAATGAAAAATAAGACGTCACAGGCATTGATGAAATATCAATAATTACAGCTAAAGATATAATCAGTGCTATAATTGATCCACTTACCTATTTGTGAACCAGTCTTTAATACAAGGGTACTTCCCAAAGGAATTTAAAAAGGCTTTGCTAATTCCCCTATTTAAAACAGGAAATCGTGCTGAGATTGATAACTATAGACAGATCTCTATACTATGCTCGCTCTCAAAATTGCATGAGAAAATTGTAGCCTCCAGAATAAGGGAGTATGTAGAAATCAATAACATATTATGTAACAACCAGCATGGTTTCAGGAAAAATCGTTCCATGGAAACAGCCTCTTATCACTTTCTCAGCAACATATATTCCAACTTGGTCTTCCGAACAATGTATTAAGATGGTTAGGCTCCTATATGGAGGGGCGCTGTATGTCTGTCAAATATGGAGGCACCATGTCAGATGAACATGCTGTTAAACTGGGCGTTCCTCAGGGCTCAGTTTTAGGACCATTATTATTCATTATATTTATCAATGACTTGTCTGAATATGTGAGGGACTGCCACATAACGATGTTTGCAGATGTCACCACTGTTACAGTCACTGGACATACTATGGACGACGTGGTAACCAAAATTAGTAACATTATCGATGAATTCACTTCTTGGTGTGAACGAAACCGACTAGTTTTGAACACCTCAAAATCAGTGACAATGAAATTTTATAACAGAAATAATAATACTCAAGAGGCAGTGTTCCCTATTGATGAAATAGATATGTCACAAGTGAAATTTTTAGGAACAATTGTGGATGAAGCCTTTAATTGGAACTCTCATATTGATGGTGTCTGCAAGAAACTCAATAAAGCATTTTTTGCAATAAAGCAGATGAAAAACTGTGTAGATCAGAAAAGTCTGATTAGCATCTATTATGCAATGGCTTTTTCACATATTTCCTTGAACATCATGTCTTGGGGGTGCGGTTCGGATTTCAACAGGGTGTTATTCATTTCAATTATGTGCTAAGGGTAAATGGTTTGATTTAATTGACGTCCCATATGTACATAGCATACCACAGTTGTTTAATAAATTATTATTATTATTAATTCAACAGAATCAGATAGAAACCAAAAAATTGAAGCTTTGTACAAAGAATGTGATGATCTAAGGTATCAAAAGCTTTACTATAGTCAAGAAAGGCCAGACACAAAGGTTTCCTTCATCACTAGATTTCATTATATCATCTGTGATTTTCAACATGACTGTTGTGATACTATGATTTTGTCGAAGACCAGACAGAAAGGTTTCCTTCATCACTAGATTTCATTATATCTGTGATTTTCAAAATGACTGTTGTCGTACTATGATTTTGTCGAAATCCAGATTGTACATTAGAGATTATTTGAGTGGAATCAACGTGTTCCAATATCTGCTCTTTCGTTATCATTTCAAGTACTTTCGACAAGGTTGGCAGAATGCTAATCGGACGTAAATCTGAATATTCTGTTTATTTGGGAAGAGGAAGAACCAAGACATGTTTCCCTGAGAGAAAGGTACCGCTAGAGATGCATTTATTCATTATGAAAGTTAAATGCTCGATAAATTCCTCTCCTACAACTTGAGCATGTGAAGTGAGATATCGTCAGTACCCACAGCATTATGTTTTAATTTTTTATAGGTATTTCAAAACGGTTGTATGGTCTACGGTATGGAAGTTGAAATATTTTTGCTGATTAATAATAATAATATCGTTTATTATGCATAAAAATACATTTATACATAAAGGCCAAAGGCTATCTTCCACCCTTCCCAAAAATTATATAGTGAGTATAAGAAAATAATTATAAACATACTTATTTACTATCATAACAATAATAGAGAAGAGGAAAAAAATGATACATCAAATAGTTGCTGATAACTCTTAATATTCTTATGCCTGCTTAATAAACTATATAAATAACTAGGTGTTTTAGTTTAAGCAACTTAAACAAAAACATTTTTATCAAATATTGGACTCTGTACCTCACATTCACATGTTCACCATATGGTATACAGCATACGAATCACATTCAAACATTTTCTATACATTGTAACTTCTGTTTGTTATATTGCAGCAACTAACCTGAGTTTCATTTCTTCTGATAACCGATAATTGAATTTATATAGCGATTTGAGTTTGAACAATGATACTTTGAAAATGTTTGTCACATGTTCATGGAAAGACAAAGAGCTATCTATGGTTACGCCAAGATTTTTAGCACTGTCTACCCAGTCAGTGTCTGTGTTATCGAGAGTGAACCTAAAGCTATACTGAGTTTCTACTATTTGTCTTTGAGACTCTATGCATAAGGCCAAAGTTTTATTTTGATTGATTTTCAGTCCATGATTCTCCGAGTATATGAATGTTTTGTGCAAATCTGTGTTTATTATATTGGCCACGCAACTTTCTGTATCGGTGTTATGAGAAGACAAATATAACTGTATATCATCTGCGTATAGATGTACATGCTATATATTTGTGAAGAAGAGACCATTCATGAGGATTTTTCATTGGGTGTGGTATTATTTATATTTTCGGGATTCTTCAATATGTTATACTTAAGTTTGATATTTTCATTAAGCCGCAACCAGCTTATTCAGATGTATTCAGTATTTACTCCATACATTGATGCTGTTCATTTTTTCCAAATTTTAATTTTTCTCTACGAATTCAAATTGAACCAAAACCATCCATCAATCTCAGTTCTGATGGTTTTATTTCAGGTTAAAACGGGAGTACGAAGCTCAAGTCCAATTATCTGAAGAACTTTTGGTAGAAATAGAACAACTTCGGGCAGAAGCCCGTACACCTGCATTGCCGACTACATCTCCAGAAACTCTCAGATTGGAGGAATTACATGAAGAGATTTCTTCATTACGAACAGAAAATTCACAACTGAAGGAAACAACTGATGATCTCCAAGCAACTCTTCTTCATGCCAGACTAGAGAGCAACAAAATTCTCAATATGGGAGAAACGAGTTTAGCTGCAGAATTTGAGGTTATGTCACATGATGAGGTAAACTTTGATTTCATTATATTGTTACAGAAATTATCACCTTAGTTACTGTTGGATTGAATGTGCTATTGAGATTTCTGCCAACTTTAGCTAGATATAGGGAAGTTCATTTTCTACATATATGTATTGAACATGTTGGAACTAGGACAAATGGTAAAACAAAAACAAAGTCCCATTTGCTGACTATTAAAATGATATCCGCTTTTCTCCATGCATTAGTTGGTATTCTTTAAACTTTTCTGGAATGACAACTTGCATTATCCTTCACAATCATATAGTCAGGTGGAATGAGGTCTAACTTTGGCTCAAAATATTCTTTAAAGACATCACCTTTCATGTCTTCAAATATCAATAAACTGGAAAAAGGTGTGTTGAATAAAAAAAATATGTGAAGAAAAAAAGGTAAAATATGAAATAATACAAAATTTGACAGGCTATATCTCGAAAACTAATTGAGTCTGACAAAAAATAAAAAGTGTTCTAAATTCCTACCATCACGTAGTATCATTCCAGAAAAAATCGCGAAAATCCGTATTCCACAAAGTACAATTTAGCCCACTTCCAATGTGGTTAATAATCACCCCATCCTAACTGCTTCAGATAATGTCTCCTACGGCAAATAATTTCATCATTTTCGATGAAATTCGAAATCGAAGAGTTGAAATTTGAGTTCTTTAAAATATTCCCCTTACCTACAGAAAATGTTTCCGAAATTTTAGATACTGAAGCACTGAATGTAAATGTATTGAAATGGTTCGAGTCATATTTATCAAATCGTCAACAAAGAACGAGAATTATAAAAGATGAGCAGATATTTAAGTCTGATACCAGAGAAAATACTATAGGCATTCCACAGGGAAATGTAACAGGTCCTATTCTATTTGTAATTTTCATGAACGACATCTTAGATATTTTAAATAACGAGGGGGCTACTATCACTAATTATGCGGATGAACAATACTGGTTCCTATCTGCAACTTCAGAAATGTAATTACTGAATCATTGCATTTAGTCAAAAAAACACAGCACTGGTTATCTAAAAATGGCCTTATTCTTAACACCGACAAAACCGTAATTCTATTTAAAACCCTTCAACAAAGAATTGAGTCACCAAAAACTGTTTAATTTAGCAAATGATCAACTGAAAGTAGAAACCTCAATAACATTTTTAGGTATATACATCAATGAGTTTCTTCACTGGCATATCCACATTATAAATTTAGGAAAAAAAATTAATCAAATCTGCTACAGTGTAAGGATTATTAGTACTTATCTTAACAAAACATCATGAAAAATCATATATGCAGCAAATTTTGAGTCTTCTGCAAAATGTGGTAGGTATATTATTCTGGGGATCTTGTAGTTGCATCTCGAATATATTTGGAATTCAAAAAAGGGTGATAAGAACTATGTTCTGTACATTTATGAATGTGTAATGTACTTATTCAAACATAAAGATAAATTCTTGGAAGCGGGATCAAACCATACTTACCCTTTGCGGAATGTCTCCCTATTCATAGACTAACACTAACAGAAAAGCATCCGTCATATGCATCAATCAGTTTTTCAATAAATTACCACAAAATATTAAATCCTGTGAGAACCTTAAAAAATTTAAAAAATATGTGAAAGATTTCCTTATAGACTTGGAACCATATTCAATTCAGGAATATGTGGATTACCGTTAACTTCATTTTATATTAAGATGTTTTTATTCCTACTGCATACTGCTGGTTTTTCTTTTTAATGTTCATACAATCTGTCTGACGTTGTTGCATTTTGTTTTTATACTGCAAAACAATGTAAAGCATACCGTGTAATATATTATATATATTTTTTTTCTTTACCCAAGAATGCGCCGGTCAGGCCCTATACATTCCCCGATACATTCGGTAGGGCGCGCCAGCATTATCAACCAACGACCACTCCCCACACCGTGGGGTAAGTGATCATTGGGTCCGAGAATCATGTGACCTGAGCAAGCGCAGTGAGCCAAGAATGACAGCCTTCTGCATCTGTCCGGCTAAGATTTCTGCCTTAGTGCGGCAGGCCGGTATGATTTTAAGATTCGATAGTTTGAAGAGAAAATCTCGATATTTTATACGTTTTTCCTTCTCTTTTCGGAAGATATTCGTCTCGCCAGGTGCTGAAAACTCCGCGAAAAATAATATTATACGTTTTAATTAATAGTGAAAGGGCCTATGAATTTTGGCGCCAATTTTGCTGAAAAATACTATGCGGCATTCGATTGAAAATGAGCTCTTTTCCAAACTTTATTCCTCAACTGATACTTAACATCACGATGGCAAAGTTTAGAATGATATAGGTCTTTTTCAAAAGCTCTATCCAAACGCGTTCAAACGCCCTTGAAGATATATTGATCGATGTAGCCCTGTCAAATTCTGACAGGGATTAGAGTTTGGAAGTCTATGTAGCACCACATGGTCTTTACCATGTATACACATTTCTCTTCTAAAAACCGTGTAAAAGGGCGTTTCTCCGTGCTGTACAGATTGTGCAGGCTGCCTTTTGTGAAATTTTATCCCAAATTCTAGGTATTCTAAACAAAAAAAGCGAATGGTTCCCCAAAAGTTTAATAATCGTTCTGGAGTTCACTGTATGCATTGGAAAGAACCAACAGAAATTGAATAAATAGTCAGATATGCTCAAAAGAATTAGGCTAGCTTGCTTAGACGGCCAATTTTCAGCATCAGGTACATAAATACATTACTTACCTCACGTAAATACTCCAAGCTGATTTTTACGTATATTTTAGGCGATATCCTTAAAAATAAATCGCCAATACTTCCAGACACTTTCCGTCGGCCGTATTGCTTTGCAGACACCTTAAAGTTCCCAAAATAATTACCTAAGTTCACGTAAATTCTGATGCTCCATTTTCATATATATTCATCAGACAACAATTTTAAAACTTTTTACAAGACAGACCGATCCAAAGAGCCAATCATCCCCTAAATACAATTTTAAACTTTAGTGGGTAGGAGCGCGGGGGCATTATCAACGGGCATGAGACTGAGTGAGACATGTATTTAGGATATATTGACTTCTCCTCTCTCTTTAAATGGAGCATCATAATTTACGTGAAACGTGAAGGTAGGTAATTATTTTGGGAGCTTTGAGGCGTCTGCAAAGCAATATGGCCGACGGAAAGTGTCTGAGAGTATTGGAGACTTATTTTTAAGAATATCGCCTAAAAAATACGTAAAAATCAGCTTGGAGAATTTACGTGAGGTAAGTAATTTATTTATGTACCTTGATTACCTGATACCTGAAAATTGGCCGTCTAAGCAAGCCAGCAGGTAGGCATGCGTTCTTAGTACTTGTACATATTTCCTTTGTCAGAAAATATGTGACGTCTGGTGGCCCTGGGATCTTACTCTATATACTAAGGATTCTGGTGTACACTGAAGTAGCCATTTAAAATTCACACACTAATAAGTATAATTCAATTATAACAACACTGATCAAAACGCAAGGGCTTCATCATTAATTCTTAATCTTCAGGTAATAAAGTACCTCGATTATGTACGCCTACGAGACAGCAACTTGAAAATTATTCATTACTCGGATGCTTAGGGAAATAGACTATAAAAGGTTATGATCTCCATCTAACTTTATCTTCTTGTTTTACAAATTTGATATATTCGTATGCCAACTGAAAAGTGTTCCTGCTCATGATATGTGTAATCAATTATTCATAAATAATCTCTCCTTTAGGTTCATCAAGCTCTGAGAGAACAGCAAGAAGTGAACAGGCAACTTCGAACATACATTGAAGGCATTTTACTCAATATTGTAGAAAATCATCCACAGCTGCTTGAAGTGAAACATAGGCCTGTTTGAGCCCTGGAATATTTTGTGAATTTCAAATTTAAACAAAATGGTTGATATATAAAGCGAAACTGTGGTCTAGAGGTTTGACAAAAATTGCTTCTTTATAATGTTCCAACCAAAAGTGCAATATATACAATGAACAATATTGTTCCTTTTGAAAAATATTCATTGAAAATTAACTTTGAAATCTTTACAAAAATAGTAACTAAATGAAAATAAAATAATTTATTTTATTGTAGTTTTACACGCCCAAATCCAGTTTAGTTTTTTAAATTGTTGTTATAATCTGTTCTACAAAACATATAACTTATTAGTTCCACACTATGTTATTTTTCTAATCCTGTGCTTAGGCTTAAATAAAGTTTGTATGAATAAAGTATCGATTCTGGGCTTGACATTTGAAATATTGCACACACAAAAAATTGAAAGCAATCGATCAATGCCAAGCTCACTGTCAACTTTTAGGTGCTCTTATCAACCCAACACATGGTTTACTGAAAGTCACTATTAGCTGTAAGGTATTTTAATGTTTGTTAAGTTTTATATCAAGAAACGAATCGCCAACATTTGTTGTTGTTGTAATTGTCTATCATCTAGGAAATAACAAACTAAAATTCCCATGTCAGATTATTTTCATCGAATTCTTACTGTTGTATATAATAATTTCGAATGTAGTATAGTTTTTAGTTGAAACAAATAATTTTTTGCATAATTAATTAATTCATCTATGAGAAATCCAGGTCCGGATTTGAAAAATTTTCAAATTAACACTGTTCACATCAGAATTTTAAAACTTTCTTTGTATTTTTGAAAAGAGCAGAAAAAATTAGGTTAGTCTTCGATATTCCTGCATACAATTTCATTATCTATTAATTTAACTCAAATGTAAATATTTCAAAAAGGCAGATGTACAAAATTTTTAAAAAAGGTTTGTTTCCATTGATGAATTTTCGAGTTTTAACTGACAAAATTTATTCACTAACATATAAACACCCTGTATGTGTAATGAAATTATGATGTTCATGAAATATGGTCTTTAAATATCCTCAAATATGGTAGTCGATTAGGTTAAAATTGGGCGATGTTATGAGAAAGAAATATTCCTCCTACATCAAGAAAAACGGGCATAACTGGCATGCATGCTCGCAGCACTTTTGACTCATTGTGTTTGGGAATATATACAGGGTGTTCGCAAGTTAATTATTGAAATTAGCATTATCTCTACGATATGTTTTCTTGAAGTTCATAACCCACAAATTGAGAAAATAGTATAAAAAAAAAACAAAAAATGCTATCCTAAATTTTGTACACCCTATTATAAAAATATTTACAAGATCAGATCTGGAATCCAATTTTCATTTATATGCTTTTTGCGAGAAATTACCCAAAGAACAATGAATAAGAAAAAAGTAACAATGTAGTTGGTTAGATATGAAATAAATAAATCAAGTATGTCGGTTTCAAAGAATCTGAGGCACATTAAATGTAGGTTATTTGGAATTGTCTCCCGTAATGTATTCGCCTTTTCTAATGAAACACCCTTTATAGTAATAAAAATGGAGCTCAACAATATAAAAGTATATATTCAGTTTGCAAGAAAGTGTTACAAGTTGACGAATGATCCTGTTCATTCAATTTGTTATTGACAGTGATAAAAATTCAAATAGTGTAGCCGTCCTAATTGTGATTATTGGTGTTGGTCAAAAGATAAAAAAGCAAGCGTGATCTTAGCCTGTACTTATACTATACTTGCGTGATATTGTCGGAGTAATTATCTGTACATAAAGTGCAGCTTCTCATCAAGAAGCTATCTAGATTTCTCAAAGTGACAGATAGTTACTTCCAAGAAAATTAATAACATTTTCGAATAATATATTTTATTGTATCCTCTGAATTTTAGATTGTATAAACCGTATTCTGCGGAAGATTTTATATTGATTTTTGTATAAATCTGTTTTTCTTATATATACATTTAGAATAAACATATGCGTTATGGTTAATTTCTTCTACTGATATAATTAATAAAGCCTTAACCTAACCTAAACATCACCTCTTATTACGATTTGGATTTTATCCACCTACCTCGTATACACAACATTGAGTGTCTAGAATTATTTCTCTAAAACTCCAGAACAGTAGGACATCCATAGAGAATGAAAAAAAATCTTGAATCAAAGCTAAGAAGTATAATTGGAGTCGATTATCATTAACAGTAAAGTGAACAGTGGCATACAGTGCCTCAATACTTCTGTTTTTCATTTGGATATACAATGTGTCAATTTCAAAACTTACAATGGGCTGTATCTCACGAACGAAAGCTGATCTCGAAAAATGCTTAAAACCTTTTCTAGGATAGTAAGCAAAGTGACATGAAGGAGAACTCACCCCCATCAACCCCCTAGGCCCCACCCACCAAAACTCAAAAAGTTTAAATTACAAACCCCTAATTGTGATACATCATTGAAAATACTATAAAAAATGCTATCCAATGGTATAAATAATAATTGTACAGGGTGAAGCAATAATTGTGAAACTGGCTTAAATGGAATATTTAGTGAGGTTTTTGTTGAACTACAAATTTATTAAAAATGTCAANGTCCTCATTAAATATTCCATTCAAGCCAAAGTTTCACAATTATTGCTTCACCCTGTACAATTATTATTTATACCATTGGCTAGCATTTTTTATAGTCTTTTCAATGATGTATCACAAATAAATGTTTGCAATTTAAACTTTTTGTGTTTTGGTGGGTGGGGCCTAGTTGCCCCTTACTATCCTAGAAACGGTTTCAAGCATTTTTCGATATCAGCTTTCGTTCGTGAGATATAGCCCATTGTATGTTTTAAAATTGACACACTGTATGACCTTCCATTAAGCTACTTACAATTTGAGGCGAAAGTTTTAAAGTGAAAAAAACGATAAAAACAAAAATAATCCCAGGCTTATGTGGGAAACTCTTAAAGACATTAATTGATATTAACAAAAAAACTCCATTGAATTCAAATGTTAAATAAAAACTTAACTTAATTTGCCGTTTTTGCAAAACAAGTTGGGAAGATCTGTTTTTTGGGTTCTGTCAGAGTCAATAATTTTTGGTTTGTTTGAGACTTCTAAATGTCATTAGTTTTCATCATTTGTACGATCTGTACTGTCATTCAGCTGTACCTAGTTGTCACGATTGTTTACAGTATATCTGAGCGCGTGGAGATAATTTTCATATTTGACTCGCAGAACCAGTGTTATTTCAAAACAGCTCAAATATTTTATGAAAGGCATCCGGACGTGTACGTCCGCGATTTAATTGAATAGTTTAGAGAAACGGGATCAGTGCAAAATAAAAAAAGGAATGCCCCAAGATTACTGAATGAAGCAACCCAAATTGAGGTCCTTGGAAATTTTGCAATCGAGCCTACTGCATCAACACGTCAAGTATCTGCAGTGACAGGACTTTCACATGAGTCAGTTAGAAAGGTGTTGAAATTACATAAGTTTCACCTGTACAGAACACAAATTCTTCAAAAACTAGGCGATGATGATCAAGACCGACGAATTGAGTTTTGTGAACTCATGACTGAAAGAATTCGCTTTGAACCAAGAATGTGCAAAAATATTTGTTTGTGATGATTGTACTTTTATGCTGAATGGTAATGTAAATAAACATAACTGTCCGTACTGGAGCTATCCAGCTCCAGTTAGGCACTGGTTGGATACTAATTATCCGAACAAATGGATTGGAAGGAGAGGTCCCATTGAATGGCCACCGCGTTCACCAGACTTGGCGCAACCTGACTTTTTTCTGTGGGGTCACCTCAAGTCAGTTGTTTATAAAACTCAACCTGCGTCACTTGGGGAATTGCGAGAAAGAATTACGCAAGCATGTCGCGCCATTACTAGAACATTTGCCAAAGTTCGTGCAGAATTTGAAAATAGGCTGTATTATTGTTTAGGAAACAACGGAACCCACTTTGAACATTTACTCAATTGTCATTTTTAATAAATTTGTAGTTCAATAAAAACCTCATTAAATATTCCATTAAAGCCAGTTTCACAATTATTGCTTCACCCTGTACAATTATTATTTATACCATTGGATAGCATTTTTTATAGTATTTTCAATGATGTATCACAAGTAGGGGTTTGTAATTTAAACTTTTTGAGTTTTGGTGGGTGGGGCCTAGGGGGTTGATGGGGGTGAGTTCTCTTTCATGTCACTTTGCTTACTNAAGTATTCGTGATTTGGTCCTCAGTTATCTTTATAAACTAGAAACAATAATGCATTAAACCTTATGTCATATTTCTAGCAATTATTTTAGAAATAATTTTTTTAATATAGAGTCAAACTTCTGAATATTTACTGTATCCATCCATCAATCTCAGTTCTGATGGTTTTATTTCAGGTTAAAACGGGAGTACGAAGCTCAAGTCCAATTATCTGAAGAACTTTTGGTAGAAATAGAACAACTTCGGGCAGAAGCCCGTACACCTGCATTGCCGACTACATCTCCAGAAACTCTCAGATTGGAGGAATTACATGAAGAGATTTCTTCATTACGAACAGAAAATTCACAACTGAAGGAAACAACTGATGATCTCCAAGCAACTCTTCTTCATGCCAGACTAGAGAGCAACAAAATTCTCAATATGGGAGAAACGAGTTTAGCTGCAGAATTTGAGGTTATGTCACATGATGAGGTAAACTTTGATTTCATTATATTGTTACAGAAATTATCACCTTAGTTACTGTTGGATTGAATGTGCTATTGAGATTTCTGCCAACTTTAGCTAAATATAGGGAAGTTAATTATCTACATATATGTATTGAACATGTTGGAACTAGGTCAAATGGTAAAACAAAAACAAAGTCCCATTTGCTGACTATTGAAATGATATCCGCTTTTCTCCATGCATTAGTTGGTATTCTTTAAACTTTTCTGGAATGACAACTTGCATTATCCTTCACAATCATATAGTCAGGTGGAATGAGGTCTAACTTTGGCTCAAAATATTCTTTAAAGACATCACCTTTCATGTCTTCAAATATCAATAAACTGGAAAAAGGTGTGTTGAATAAAAAAAATATGTGAAAAAAAAAGGTAAAATATGAAATCATACAAAATTTGACAGGCTATATCTCGAAAACTAATTGAGTCTGACAAAAAATAGAAAGTGTTCTAAATTCCTACCATCAC